TGGAACAGGCGCCAAAAACAGCCAAGATCTACTGCATGGGGGGTGCGAGGGCCGCGCCGATCGACAAAATGATGAATAAGAAACCGACGACCAGGTACGCATGAATGCATCATTGCGTGAGTGTGCTGCGAACCGTAGCCACCGAGGCTCAAGCCCAGAAGTCGCAAGACACGTCCTGGAGCCAAGCGGAAAAATCGCGCAGTCACAGCTTGAGAGCTCTTTGATATCATCGTGCGCACCTTCGGTGGCAACTCGTGGGAGCCTCCCGTACCACCTTGCCGGCTCTTGCGAGTCGACGCTAAATCGACGCTAATCGGCGCTAAATCGACGCTAATCGACGCTAGGTCGACGCTCATCGACGCTAACCGACGCTAAATCGGCGCCACCTTATCGCCTCCCAGACGCTCATCGACGCGGATCGACGCTAATAGAAAATCAAAAAATCGCATAAACATAAACTTTCGCCTCGCCAGTCCGCGCGGACTTCTTGGATCCGCGCTGGGCCCCCCTCCCTGGCGCGCGGAGCGGCGCGCCAGGGGCGGCGCCGGAGGCGCCGCCGTGAGGGCACCAGCGCGGATCCAAGAAACCCGCGCGGAGCGCAAAAAAACAAATGTTTATGGTGTTTTCTTCTTCGAGCTTGTCGACTCGAAAGATAAATCCAAGAGGGCACCGTCGGCCCGCATCGGAAGGATGCGCGATAAGAATGCCTGGGCCTTGGGCGCCCATTTCGAAGCTCCTCGAGCGGAGCGCGGCCAACGAAGGTGGCCAAGGATGGACCGAGGAGGCAAGGATGCAAGGGTTAGTCGGGCCTGTCCCCCTACAGGGGGATTTTGGGCGAAAAATTGAAAATACTCAAAAAATACTCCCCAAATGGACAAAAATAGTGGAGAAATCGTCCTCTGACTATTTTTCTACTATTTTTGAATATTCCTCCTGTAGAGGGACAGGCCCGACTTAATGCAAGAGTACCCTTGGGAAGGTTGCCCATCCTTACTATGTGGGTTGACTGTAGGGGCGAATAGGCGAATAGCCCGGGCGTGGGCATTCCACGAATCCCTCCGGGAGCCGCGCCGAAGACATGGACCATCGGCGCCCCTGGCTACATGTATTGCTCCCCCCTGGGATACGAGGAGGAGGGGGCAGAAGAAGAGGACGGTAACGAGAAAGAGGAGGAGGAGGAGGAGGGCGGGGGAGGAGGAGGAGGAGGAGGGCGGAGGAGGAGGAGGAGCAGGGCGGAGGAGGAGGAGGAGGCGGAGGAGGAGCGCACGAGGCTCCCATGATCTCTGCCACCGAGCCCCCATGGCCGAGCCCCGCACCGCCGAGGCCCGGAAGGCCCTGCGCCAGGCCGGGCTGCGGCTGCGCCTCGCCGGGGCCGCCCCCCTCGGAGCCGACCCGGCGCCGTCGCGGTCGCCGACGTCGGCGGCCACGACGACGACGACGACGACGACGACGACGACGGCGACGACGACGACGGCGACGGCGGCGACGACGGCGGCGGCGACGACGACGGCGGCGACGACGGCGGCAACGACGACGACGACGACGACAACGACGACGACGATGACGACGGCGACGACGGCGACGACGTCGTGGCAGGCGCGGTTGTCGCGGTCGTCTCCGTGGTGGTCGCCGTCGGCGGCGGCTCTGAGCGGTGCGGCCCACGAGGGGACAAGCCGCGGCGCGAGCTTCGCACGAGAGGGGGTCGAGACCGCCAGAGCCGCCCTCCATGAAGAGCGAACTCGTGCTGAGAGATATTGGCGTAGAGGTGCCGGAGGAAAAAGCACAGACCAGAAGGGGGAGACGGGGGGGGGCAGGACAAGGGGAAGGACGAGGGACCAAGAGGGTACCAAAGGAAGAAAAAACGGCATAAGCATAAGCTTGTGGCGCTCAGCGCGGACTTCTCGGATCTGCGCCAGGCCCCCCGCCCTGGCGCGCGGAGCGCGCCAGGGGCGGCGCCCGAGGCGCCGCCGGGGGGGGCCCAGCGCGGATACAAGAGATCCGCGCGGATCGCCGAGAGTTTATGTTTGTGCAACTTATCTTCTTCGAGACACGCTCGATTTCGGGAGCAAGAGGCAAGGGAGGCACGAACACCGATCATGAGACCAAGATCGGCGCGGAGAGGATCGACGACAAGAAACACGACGACGAAGACGACAACGATTACGTGGACGACCGCTACCACGACGCCGTCGACGAATACGACGACGACGACGACCACCACCACCACCACGACGACGACGAGGAAAACGACGACGACGACGATGACGTCGAACGAAGAATTGGCCAGGCCAGGATGGGTGCAGGCACAGTGCCTGAAGGCGCAACACAAATACTGCGGTCGCTACTCCCTGGACCTCTCCTGGGGCACAACCTGGCCAGGATGTCGAGGAGGGTCTCGCCGCGGCAACATAAGGAGGGCCCTCAGATGCCCCAGAAACGCGAGAGGCAAGGCATGCTATCCCATCTGCAAAACATCCACGCACCCGCCCAAGGTTCCCAGGAGTCTTCGGCGAGAGGTCCTCCGAGGTTAAAAATCCAAACGCAACCCAAAAGATCAATCCTCTATCCTCCTCCTCCTCCTCCTCCTCCTCCTCCTCCTCCTCTTCCTCCTCCTCCTCTTCCTCCTCCTCCTGTATCCTCCTCCCCATCCTCCTCCTCATCATCATCATCCTCCTTTTCCGCCTGTTTCTCCTCCACCTCCTCCTATTATTCCTCCTTTGCTTGATATGTCTAGTGTTATTAATGTTCGTGTTACTGTTGGTGTTCTTCGCATTAGAATTTGGACTGTTATTCAGTATGGTGCTGAGAATTGTTGTTCAGTGATTGTTGTAATTATTATGATCCTTCGTATATGATTATTAACCGTTGCCTTAAAATAGTAATAAATCAAATATGGCATTACTATAATTACTCGTATTAGTATTATTAGCAATGTCTATATATATATATATGTATACCATACTGTATTAATACTAGTATTAGTAGTGTTAGTATTAAGAGTATGGATCATGTTCGTCTTATTATTGATATGACTATTCGTATTCTTAGTACTACACGTATTATCCGTAATCGCATTGGCAATCGTATTGCTATATCATTACTGGTATATTAGTATTATTAGTGTTATTATTAGTAGCAGCATTACGAATACTATTTTTACGATTACTATGTTTATTCGTCTCCCTCCTCATCATCCTCATCTTTCCCCTCGTCGATCCTCATCCACCTCCTCCTCCCCTCCTCCTGTTTCCTCCTCCTCACCATCATCATCAGCATCAGCATCATCATCGCCATCGTCATCATCATCAGCATCAGCATCATCACCATATTAGCAGCACCAGCATCATCATCACCACAACAACCACCACCACCACCACCATCATCATGATCGTCATCATCATCATCCCCGATCCTCCACCATCCACCCATCTTTCGTCGCCGCCTCCTCCGCCTCCTCCTCCTCCCCCTCCTCCTCCTCTTCCTCCTCGTCCTCTTCCTCATCCTCCTCCTCCTCCTCCCCCTCCTCCCCCGTCTCCTCCTCGATCACGACCACCCACCAGCCCAGAAAAATCATGATCAACCCACCTCGGTCCTCGATCCTCATGAGTATCCTCCTCCTCGTCATCATCAGCATCAGCATCAGCAGCATCAGCATGAGCATCAGCTGCTTCACCACTGTCACCAGCAGCAGCATCAGCATCATCATCAGCATCATCACCATCGTCATCATGATTACCAGCAGCATCAGCATCAGCATCAACATCATCATCCTTCTCATCATCCACAAAACCTTGGCGGGACGCCAAACGGCCGGGCGCGTCGCACCGCGACGCTGGGTGCGGCGCTCGACCCTGGCCGCGCGCAACGGTGCCCTGAGCCGACGGTGGCTCGGGCACTTCCCTGCGTCGTCGGCCTAGCCGAGCGCCCACTGCGAACACCCCAAGCCGAATGGCCACCAAAGCAGCGGTGGGCGGGCAAAAGCCGCGCCGCAGGTGCCCCTCGCCGAGCGTGGCGGGACACCCCCACCAACCGCGCGCGCGCGACGCCCCTCCAAACCCTGGGCGGCGCACACGCCCCCTCGCGCGCTCGCCCATGCAAGCAGGGCGGACTGCGCGACGCCTCGCACCCAACGCTTGGGCACGCGTCGCCCCGCGCCGCTGCGCGTCGCGCGGCGACCCTTCCCGTTCGCCAAAGCAAGGGGGCTGGGGTGGGGGCGCCCGCCCCGCGGTTTCGTGACCGCGATTCAACGTTGCACGATGATCGCCCACAACATCATCGTCTGCATCATCGTCCGCATCATCATCATCATCATCATCATCATCATCATCATCATCATCATCATCATCATCATCATCATCAGCATCATCATCATCATCATCATCATCATCATCAGCAGCAGCAGCAGCATCATCATAATCAGCATCATCGCCATCATCACCACATCATCAGCAGCATCGTATGCATCATCATCAGCATCATCAGCATCATCATCATCATCAGCAGCAGCAGCAGCAGCAGCGTCACAATCATCATCATCATCCTCATCATCAGCAGCAGCATCATCATCGTCAGCACAATCATCAGCATCATCATCAGCATCATCATCATCATTAGCGTCATCGTCATCATCACCATCCTCATCATCATCATCATCATCAGCATCATCAGCATCACCATCTGCATCAACGTCGTCATCATCAGCAGCATCATCATCACAATCATCATCACCACCACTGTCATCATCACTTTCATCATGAGCAGCAGCATCGTCATCATCATCAGCATCATCATCGTAGTCAGCATCACCATCAGCAGAATCAGCATCATCATCAGCATCATCATCAGCAGCGCCATCATCATCACACAAGCCGCCAGTGGATGAGCCTCTGGCGACGTGTGGAGGATGCCATGGCCGCAGCACCACTCACAAGCTGATCAAGACCATGAGCTCAGACAACATCCACGAACATGGGGAGCGATGTGGATCGACGACACCAGAGGCGAGCAGCATCTGGACTCTGAGAACTTCCAACAATGGTGTGAGGCGCAGTGCCAGCAGCCGCGGATATGGTGCCTCGCCGAGTTCCCGTACGTGGCGATAGTGGAGATCACTGCAGCCACGTGCGAGGGAGCCTGGACCCGAGCGGCGCCGAGGCGGGGCGCCATTCGGCACGTTCGAAGGGGCGGAGCCAGGACAGCTGTACCAGCTAGATAGACTGTTAGCCAGCATAAACCCCAGACAGTGGCCTCTAGCATACCGAGTGATGCAAACGACGTGGCGCAGTGCGAAGAAAGCAACGCAAAAATCGATGCAACGCTATGCAAAGCCAGGAAAAGCGATGCAACGCGATGGAAGGCAGTGGGAATGCATAGCACGGCGTAACAATGCAAAGCAATGAAAGGAATGCACTGCATTGCATGGCGCGGCGTAGCAATGCAAAGCAAAGCAATGCGATCCAAAGCAATGCAAAGCAGCGCAAAGCAAGACAAAACAATGCAAAGCAGAGAAAAGCAAGGGAAATTGCAATGCGCAGCAATCCAGAACCATGCAAGCAACGCACCGCAATGCACAAGAGGGCCCAGACGATGGGCGGCGACGAGGCGGCGACGAGGCGGCGACGGGGCGGCGACGGCGGCTACATGGCCGCCAGAGCGACACAACCCATAAAGCACAGCCCCAAGCGCTGCGACGCCAAATGCGAGAACTACTCCAAGGAAGAGCGCCACGGAACAGACCACCACCACCAGAGAACCGGCAACGAGGCGCAGACGAGGACCCAGCGCAGAGCGAGAACACTGTCCCGCTTAGGGCACAGGGCCCGCCCCAAGCAAGGGGCCCGACCGAGCCGCAAGTGCAATGCCCTGACATGCAGAGTGGGCATCATCAGTCCAGCACTGGGGACGAGAATCGAGCTGCTCGAAGGAGCTTGGACTAGCCGCGGTCCCAGGGACAAAGGCGGAGTGAACGAGGCGCGACGTGTCGCAGCCGAGAGGCCAAGCGGCGACGCGGCAGCTCGGGTGGAGCCTCCGCAGGGAGGGTGGCCGATGCCTTCACCGGGCTGCGGAGATGCCAGCCGCGACGGGGCCTCTGCAAGGAGGGTTGTCGATGCCCACGTCGAAGCTAGCAAGGACAATCAGTGGGCCGCGAGCCTGGCGACTGCAGCTGGACGGGCAAACCGCCGCCGCCACCGCCTGGCCCGCCAGACTTACTTGAGCAGCACCGCCATAAAGTAACTGACCCTGCAGGTGCGTGGGCCAGGCGATGGGTCACCAGGCTGGAGGAGCACGAGCAGGAGGCCGACTGCGACCACTGGCTGACCTGGCACATCCCCTACCTCGAGACAGCGCTGCGTGGGCGCAGGTACGCCCAGATGCTGGCCATGGCGACCAGCCGGCACGGGCGATCTGCGAAGCGGCAGGGCACCACTGGCGGGACCACCGCAACCGCCTCAGGCGAGCGCGCAGCTTGATGCGGCCCTCAAGCCGCGCCCTGCACCAGGAGGCACCCGCGTCGGGCCGGCGAGGACGCAGCGCCGGAGAGCCGCGAGCACAGGGCCGGGCCGCCGACGCCGACGTGCAGACCAGCGAGGGCGCGGCCAGGCTGGATGTGCAGGCAGACGCTGGTTCCAAGGGAGAGCACGGGCAAGAATCGCTGCCGGCGTGGGCCAGGAACCCCCCCCCTGTAGTGGGCGGTGGGACAGGGCCGTGGCTGCCCAGGCTCCCAGGGGCTGGAGGAGAAGGTGGCCATGGGATAGGCCATACCAGCATCGGCACAGGAGGCGGTGGAGGGGCCCGCAGAGGGGTTGGAACGGCCCCAGCCCCCTCCCCTGCACTCTCACGCCAGCACCGCCCACGGGCGGCGTGAGCCGCAGCTCTGGTGATCGAAAGAGTGCAAAGGATGCTACTGGGTATGAGCGTCGCGCTGAGACAGCTCCGAGGGACATCAGGACAGGCGGGGAAGTGGTGACCGTCGAGGGACGGAAGGGTCGACGAGGAATAACCAACCCTTCCCTCGCCACCCTCACGTCAGAAGCGCCGACGGGTGGTGTGAGCAGAAGCTCTGGCAATCGAGGACGTGCGGAGGATGCCAAAGGGCTGAGGCGACAGAAAGCGCGAGGGATCGAAGATGCAATCGGGGCGGCCACCCACAGCGAGAGTCCAGCCCTGCGGAAGCCCCGAGCCGTGGCAGTGCAAGCGCAGACCGCCAAGCCCCACGACGGGTTTGCAGACCTGTCCCAGCACAACGCTGGCAGAGCGCAGCCAACGCCCCGGGCGCGCTCCGGAGCAGCTCAAACGGCGCAGCCCGGCGGGAGCACAGGCAGACAGCCAGCAGGGGGACGACGGATGGAGCCGCAAGTGGGCGCGAGACGTGGGCCTACCAGACGAGCGCGACTCGGAGGACGACTGACTGGACTGGCGCACGGCTCACTTCAGGCCAGGCTTGCCCATCTCCGCACGAGGCTGCTTTTCAACCCGCCGCACATGCAGACGGTCGGCAGCCTGATTGGAGATCTGCAGGCGACCGTGGCATCGAGGTAAAGAATCACGTACGGCATATATACGCCGCCTGACCATCCGATACCAAATGGCAGGAGAGCTCAGAATCGAATCGATAAGTCGGATCGGCAATCGAAGTAAAGTAAATCGGATCGGAGGAAATCGGCAGCCGAGTCGGGAAAAGTCGAATCGGCGGAAATCGGCAGGATAGTGGGCCTCCAATAAGTAATCGGAGCCCAAATAGGAATCCGAAGTCGAATCGAATCGGAATCGGAAGCCATCGAAATCGAATCGAACCGAATCGGAGGAATCGAGATGAGGCTGCAATGGGGACAAAGTGCATGGGTACGGCACAACACGCAAGCGCACGGAGCTCCGTGGGTTCCTCATCAGCGATGAAGGGCGCCCGTGGGAGCTATATCCATCCGCAAGCGGACTGTCCCGCAGCGAATCCTGCAGATTGTGACAAGACCTGGAAGGACAGCCAGCCCCGCGGGAGCCCTGACCCTTCAGCAGACGGAGCACAAGAGGACCAGACACGGCCAGCCAAACCTGTGCCGCCCGCAGCGGCGCCTCCAGGTACTGCAGGTTCGTGTCGCATCGACTTCGGAATTGGTTTCTAACACCGCGCGGATCGTTCAACCTTGAACGATCGGCCGTTTCCGAAACGTCCAAATCGTTCCACATCGAACGATTCTGGGTCGCCCACGGAGTTCAACGTTGAACGCGGCTGCCGGGGTCGCCGCCAGTCGACACGACACGAACCTACCGTACTGAGGCAGCTGCGGACAAAGAAGCCGACGACAACGAGCTGGTGCAGCTGGCCAAGCAGCGGGCAGCGGGTGTCCAAGTCCAGCTTCAAGTAGAAGGATCTAGCCGATGCTCTGAGGCAAGGCCCACCAAATGAGGCCGACGGCTCCAAGGCGACGGCAACAAGCTGTGCGAGCGGTGACCCCCCGGCACGGGGTGAACCGTGGCTCTTAGTAAAATGCACGAGGCCTTGGCATACCTCACACACGTGGTCAGTGATGCCGTGAACGTCGAGAGTAACGCCATCGCCGACGTGAGGTGAACCTGAAGCCATCCACTCAGGAGATGCTCGACGTGAACAGCAGCAGCGACGACCAGGAACACGGCAAACACTGCAGGGACGACCCGAACCTACGGCCAAACCAGGAGGGAGCCTGGGAAGGGGTCCAACGTCACCAGACGTCCAGGATCGAACTGTGCACATGGAGGATGCCCGCAGACACCAGGACCTCAAGCCACAGCTGGCAAGCCACCTGCGTACAGCACATCAGCCAAGCATTCTGGAACCAAGACTGCGAGCTGCTCTGCTCCCAGCTGCCAGAGCAAAGACAACAGGCGCGACTGAGATGCATGGCACAAAGGAGATGTGCCGCCGGACATGGGCAGACAACACGCCCGCACGACGACGCGCACGGAGCCCAGCATTACCGACTGGCTCGCAGGCTGGCCGCGCCCGAGCCACAGAGGGACACAACTTAGTGGCGGCACTCGTTGGGGCCGAGGTGCGGGCCGCGTCGGCCGAGCAGGACCAGAACACAGCGACAGCGGCGCAAAGCCCAGCGGTGGCGGAGCCAGCCCCGTCCACACGCACCGACCCCGAAGGCGACCCAGAGCGAGCAGCAGCTTGGGGCAGGCAGCGGTCGCTCGCTGCCGGCCCGGCAGGCTTGGCGTCCTGGTGGCACCCTGCAGCGGATGCAGGACAGCCATGGGCCAGACGGCCTCCGAACTGCGTCCAATACCTGATTGACGGAGATGGGGAACCAGAGGCTGGACGCGCTCGTGGGCAACCGCTCGCAAGGATCCGAGCACGGCCTGGACTCCGAACACGCACCAGAACGAGATCACCAGACGTGCGGCGAGATGCAGCAGCAAGTCCACCACCTGGCGAAGATGATGATTAAAGGGGCCCAGGGACACACAAATAAATGGACACAGACCCCAAGGATTCTCGATATTTTCCATATTTTCTGGGTTTCGTCTTTCCCCCCACTTCCGAGATTTTCTCACATTTTCCTGGGAGTCGACGATTCATTGTTTCTGTGTCTGTCCACTCCTGAATAATGCGCAGCAGCCCCAAGCCTGCAATTCGGCGTGGGCAGCGAGACTGGAAGCTGAAGGACCCCAGCCAGAAGCCGGAGGAGTCCGGCCCGGAGCTGAAGAGGACCTGCCAGATGCAGGGGCGCCGTAAGAGAACGATGACAGCGGAGCGGCGAGCAGCGCATGGCGAGCCAGGGTAACAGCTCCTATCGCCGCAGCAGCAGCAGCAGCAGCAGCCAGCTCTCCCACAGCCGCCGAGGGCGACGGAGGACCAGAGCAGGACGACCCGCCAAGGCCGAGCGGCCAGCGCAGAACACGAGGCCGGTGGACCGCGTCGGCGGGAGCCGCTGGCCGTGGAAGCGAGGGATGGGCGGACGGTGGCGGCGGGCGGGCCGATGCAGGTGCCGAAGGAGCAGCTGACACCGGCCAGGCCAGGCGAGCCAGACGTGAGTGAAGGGGCCCTGGGACACACAAACAAGTGGCACGCGTGCCCTGGCTCTTGCACAAAGGTGTCCGAGGCTCAGGGGGGCTGCCCTGGGAAGCCTGGGCGGGGGGGGGCAGAGGGGGGGGGGCAGGGGGACGAACGACAC